TGCTTATTCTGCGAATTACCAACATTTCGGTGCTACCAAGACCTGGTATGGAATTCCAGGTGCCGATGCAGAGGCCTTCGAGGCGGCCATGCGGGATGCAGTTCCGGAACTTTTCGAAGGCCAGCCCGATCTTCTTTTCCAGCTTGTCACCTTGATGCCACCAGACAAGCTTCGCAAGGCCGGCGTCAACGTTTACGCGGTGGATCAGCGAGCTGGTCAATTTGTGCTCACCTTCCCTCAAGCATATCATGCCGGCTTCAACCACGGTTTTAATTTCAATGAAGCAGTCAACTTCGCGCCCACGGACTGGGAGCCATACGGTGCAGCAGGTGTTGAGCGTCTTCAGAACTTCCGCAGACATCCATGTTTCTCCCACGATGAATTGCTTCTTACCGCTGCTGCACGTGATACTTCTATTGCCACTGCCAAGTGGCTTGCGCCTGCACTAGCAAGAACATGTGCTCGTGAACTGGGTGAACGGGCTGCTTTCCTATACCGGCAAAAAGAAGTGTCTGCTCGTACCCCAGGCTTTGGTCCCGACTCCATGACAGACGATACACGGCCGAAATTCGTAGTTGAGAATGAAGACCTTCCGGAGGATGATTACCAGTGCCAACATTGCAAGGCCTACGCTTACCTCACTCAGTTCCGTTGTCACAAATCAGGCAAGACTGTCTGTTTGTCGCACGTTGACACCTATGACTGCTGTGGCGAAACCTTTGCTCAAAAGTTGTGCGGCTCAGGACACACCCTCCGTTATCGCATGAGTGATGATGAATTGCAGGCCCTTGTGCAGAAAGTCCAAGAACGGGCCAGAATCCCCGAAGCATGGTCCGAAAAGCTCGACAAGACTCTGGAGGATGAACCGAAGCCTCAGCTTAAGGCCCTTCATAACTTGCTCAATGAAGGTGAGAAAATCCCATACCACTTGCCAGGCCTTCAAGATCTTGCGGCCTTCGTCCAGCGTTGCGATAAATGGGTTGAAGAAGCCAACAACTACATTACCCGGAAGCAGCAGAACCGGAGAAAAAACGAGAAGGCTTGGCGCAGAGCCAGTACCAAGGCAGCCCAGCTGGACGATCGCGATCGCGAAGTCCGCAGAATTGAACATATCTACGCCCTTCAGGCAGAGGCTGATAAACTTTCGTTCGACTGTCCACAGATGGCGGCGTTGGAAGAGAAAACCCGCGAAATCGAGAAATTCCAACAGGATATTAACAACGCTCTCATGCATCCGCACACCCGTCCTCTCCGGGAGATTGAAGAACTTATCGAACGCGGCAAAAATTTCAACGTGGAAGTCCCGGAACTGGAACACCTAGAGCAAATATCCCACCAAATCAAATGGATCGAACAAGCTGTGCGCAAACGAGACCAGTACATGACCCTTACCGACTGCCGGGAACTTGTCGCTGGTGCGGAGAAGGTCGGCCTTTCCGATACCAATGAACACTTAGTTCATTTCAAGGAGCTTGCTCGTCACGGAGATGCGTGGGAGATGAAGGCAAAGGAATTAATGTCCGTTGAAGCCGTTCACTATCAGCAATTAGAAGCTCTCTCTGCGCAGGCGTCCCGTTTTCCAGTTTCACCAGATACTCTCGCAGCCGTCGATGCTATATTGACCAAGCAGCGTGAGGCGCAGAAACGGATCCAGACTCTGTATGAAAGGAGCAAGGACGTGGAGATGAAGAATCGGCCCAAGTACAAGGACATCCGTGACCTCATGGAAACCCTTGAGAATATGAGCAGTCGACCTATCGGGGCCATCGACTTGGAACGTGAGCAAAAGCGCCATGAGGACTGGATGAGGAAAGGGAAGAAGCTATTTGGCAAGGCGAATGCTCCTCTTCATATTCTGAGATCCCATATGGAATATGTCGAAAAGCGGAACTCGTACTGTTTCGACCTAGAGGACAGTTACCGACCGCCTGTGGAGCCTTCGTCTCGAGACAATTCACCCGAAGGTTTGCTTGAGAATCCTGGCAATGCTACCAACATGTGGGGTCCAAAGTCACGAAAGCGAGATGTGTTCTGTATTTGCAGGCACTCTGAAGCAGGAATGATGATTGAATGTGAAGTCTGCCACGAATGGTAAGTTAACAAACTTTCGGCTCCTGGTCTAGTGTACTGATCTATATAGGTACCATGGCAAATGTTTGAAGATTGCTCGGGGTAAAGTAAAGGAATTTGACAAGTACACTTGCCCAATATGCGATTGGCGTCAAAAGATTCCGCGCGATGCTGCTCGTCCTAAGCTTGAGGATCTTCAAGATTGGCATGCAGAAATCGCAACTTTGCCTTTCCAGCCCGAGGAAGAAGAAGTTCTTGAGAGTATCATTAATCAAGCGACAGCCTTCCGCGATTTCCTGCACGGCTTCACTAATGCTGCCTGCACAACGACCGAGGAAGTGCCTACTTTGATATTCTACCTCCGCAAAATTGAGGGTGCTGAGGTTCTTCTCACCTTTGAGACGAATTTCTTCCGGCAGGAGATACACAAGTGGGCCCCCGTCGCCCCGGAACCCCCTCCAATCTTGGAGCAATCTTTGTCAACACGAAAGCCGCGACCGACCAAGCAACAAAAAATCATGGCTCAGCTTGGGGTGAATCGTCCAGAGGATCTTCCGGAGCATCTGCGCCCCAAGCACATTGGCGCAACCAAGCGGAAATCTGTTGATGATCAACCGCAGTCGGGTCCTAGTCAACCTCCATCCATGCAACAAGCACCGCCAACTTCTAGTAGTGGACAACCCCCTAGCACAGGTCCAACATTGGCTCAGATGACAGATCCAAACGCTGCACCATATCCATTCTCTGCAAACTATTCCTTGCCTGCGAGCGATTCCACGCCCGCCTTTGCACCTACCTCCTCCTCGGCTTTCCTCCCCCACGCCGCCGCTTCTCAGTCCCCCTCATTCCTACCGCGCTCTCCTCCCCAGCCAGATCTAGAAACCTCCCTTTTCAGCCCTCCACGCTTTGGTCATGATCCTCAGTTCGCGAGCAGCAGCCCTCGTCAGAACCTGGATGACGTATTTGCAGATTTGACCAACCAAGAGATTGACCCTGAAGCTGATAACCAGCCCATGGAGAATACTCATGCTAATGAGGCCTTGGAGGCCCTCGTGGTCAGCAATGGCAGTAGTCGTGCTGCCTCTGTTCAAGATGTATCGGCTCAAAATGGTGAACATAGCGAACCGCAAGATGAGCCCAAACTCGACGGCACTAATGGGGACCTTGAAGACGAGGAACTTTGACTGACTTGCTTTTTTTTCTCTCGATGAAAGTTCTGTTTATCATGAAAACTTGACATTTTTCAGTCTTTTTCAGTCTTTGCTTACTCTGTTCTAATTGTTTTCTTGCGTCACTTTCAGTCTTTGTTTACTCGTCTCTCCTAAGCTTTTATTGTTCTTTCGGATCAATTCTCAAAAAAGGGTGTACAAGAGAATGGACTGGCGAGTCCGGGGGTGTTTTCTAGCGATTCCACGCTTTTCTGTTTTTCCATACCACAAGACTATGTCTGTCATGACTGCTTTTCTTTGCTGCTGCCCACACCATGTAATACTAGTTGAATTCAGCCATTCTTATTCACATCTCCAACTATAAACACCCCATTGGTCTGTTCTATTGGGCATCGGTGTAAGCTCCTAGAGCAGCCTGTCCACCAGTATGAATAAACAATACATTGACCTGATCCAAGGGTTTAGCAGAGTCCGCGACTTCTCCCCCGTTCACCCAATGCATCATGCCTCTCGCAACCTTGGCTGTATAAACCGGATCCAACACCATGGCCTCCGTCCGCGCCATTGTCTCAAGAGCCTCTTTACTCTCGCCATCAAGCACGCCATATGCAGTCCCAACAAACCGATCATCAAGCCGCACATCGTCGACTCCAATATCCTGCTCCCCATCAAGCCCAATGAAATCACCTGCCCTCCGTGCAAAAGTAAGAACCCGCTTTTCATGATACTCCCGCGGTTTAGTCGGCGAATTAAGGATCCCAACAACCTTCCTCGACTCCCCAATAGTCTTTGACGCATCTAATCCTCTAATCTTCTCCAGTAGCTTAAACCCAGCCACCAACCCACCAACCGTACTCCCACTCCCACACGCAACAAAGACATAATCAAACCTCCCCGAACCCCCAAGCCCCATCTCCCCCTCCTGTGCAGCAATCTCGAACGCCGCACGCGCATACCCTAGCCCACCAAGCGGATGCAAGCTCGCGCCACCGGGAATCCAATACGGATTCTGCCCGGACGCCTTCAACCCATCAAGAAGAGGCGTCGCATCCTCGGCAAGCGGATCGCCTTCTTCGCAGACGCGAACCTCCGCCCCGAGAAGGTGATTGATGTGCACATTTCCGCTACGTTGAAAGGCTTCCTTATCTCTGGCTGCTGCGAGTCCACCGCCTGTGCCTCGGTGTAGAAGAATTAAGGCTTTCAAACCTAGTCTCCGCGCGAGAGCCACAACTTGCACGGTGTGATTGCTTTGGATTGCGCCCTCTGTTACGAGGGTTGTTGCCGCGCCTTGTAGCGGGCCTGGGGGTGTTGGGTTGTTTTCATGGCTGTGATACAGGGGTGTTTGAGATAGGATATCCGGGACTATGTATTCTAGTTTGCGATATTTGTTGCCCGCACAGGCTAGTGGGGAAGAGTGGTCTTCTCGTTTGGCGTAGATGGAGATGAGGGGTCGGTGCGGGGAGACTCTTGGGGGTGCAATTGAAGGTAAGGGGTGGATTGGAGAGGGATTCGAGTATAGGATATTATAGCGGGGGATTTGGGCAAATGTTTCTGGCAGCTGTACGGGAAGAGACATTATTTTAGGCATGAGTTTTGGTTAAATCAAGTTTGGATGTCGTGATGGCCCATTTTATATTTTGTGGCCGCATTTCTAAGGCATCAGTCCACTCTTTGATTAGTCATCCAATTCATGACCAATTGCATGACGTCGACCCGCAGGCATATAACTCGAGCTCTTGTGGTCAACTCCATTCAACAAACATGACTCTACTCCAATTTTTACGACAAGCCCGCCAATTACACCTCCGATTCCTCTCGGGTGCCCAGTCTGAGCCTCCAATCTATGTAATTGGCAATCCCTCCGCCGATCTTGACTCCATCGTCTCGGCGATCATCTACTCCTACTGCGCGAACAACCGGCTTCCGATCAAAAGCCCACGACCACATATCCCACTCTTAAACCTGCCCAATTTCCCCGCCGGTACAGAGTTGTATAGACTAAGACCGGAATTCTCAGCTGCACTATGGTCATCAACCAATTGCCCCTCTCTGATGAGTGAAGACCATTTCGAGAACAGCCTACAGTCTGCAGGGAATTTCCTACGCGAACATGTCATGACCGTCGCGGACTTCGCGCAATCTCTCGAAGACAAGCATGTGTGGAAACAGACACTCGTCGATGCAACGCTGGTAGACTGGAACGCATTTCCGCTCCCCTCCATCGATAAGGGCTCCGGATCCCTAACCGGGTTGCCGAGTGTCTCATTCCGGACTGTCGGATGTATCGACCATCACATTGACGAGGACTCCATGCCAAGCATTGACGAAGTACCAGAAGGCCAGCCGATGATTATTCAGCCAGGACCTGGGTCATGTGCCTCGCTCATTACGCGCGAATTGCAAGATCGGAAACTCTGGGACGCGACCCCGGAGATGGTGCAGGTTGCAAAGCTTGCTCTTTCGGCGGTGCTGATTGATACGTCGAACCTCACTGCGGAAGGCAAAGTGACCGATGTAGATCGTATGGCTGTTGAATTCCTGACATCTCAAATCGAGGGGGAAACACAAACGGCAATGGATGCAAAGGGCGATTGGAATTTGGAGGCGTTCTACAAGAGCATTCTTTATGCCAAGAAGAGTAGTCTCGATCTTCTTACTATGGACGAAATATTGGACCGCGATTATAAAGACTGGACTGAGACTTCACAGTCTTCGGGGAAGACCGTGAAAATGGGCTTTTGCTCTGCCGTCAAGCCCATGCGATGGATTGTACAGAAGGCGGGTGGTCCAGAGAAGTTTATCGATGCCGTGCGCTCATTCGCAGCTTCCGCTGAGAAGGACTTGGATGTGCTTGTTATTATGACGGCGTTTACAGGTACTAACGACAAGTTTTGTCGCGAGCTGTTTGTCAGTGTGATGCGTGACAATGAAGCGGCTGACAAGGGTGTCAAGAGATTTGTTGAGCATTCCTCTCACCATCTTGGGCTCATAGAATGGTCTCCGCTCGATGAGGAGGATATCCCTGAGCTGACAGGAGATTGTCTTTCTACATTGAATGAGGAATCACCCCTCTGGAGGAGGCTGTGGGTGCAAACCCATGCGGCCGGCAGTAGGAAACAGGTTGCGCCGTTGTTCCGGGCAGCAGTAGCAAAATTATAGAAGAGTTACTTTATATGGTCACTCTTGTGGACTTGAAGTTCTCCAATTCCTATTAATTCATACACACAACATACTCTAACAATGAAAGCCAGGTATCTGGAATAGAACACAAACAAAATAGAACGCAGTATATGCAATGCTCCAAGCTAACCTCATGCAAAATGCTAGTATGCCAGGAGGACAATATGACGAAAAAGAGATATGCAACTCGCAATAAGACAAACCAAAATGAGAAGAAAAAAGACGCGTAGCCACCTCCTCCCGAATTTGGTGTATCTGAAGGCTTCAAGTTAAAACGCCCATAATATGTGAAAGAAGAAAAAAATAAATTAAACACATTCCCACTCGCAAAATACACACCAGCGCGCAGCTCGGTCAGCTAGCACCAAACCACGCCACATACCACGCTCACCAATCTTAATAACAGTCTCCCAAACACTGCCCTCAGCGACAGCATCAGTGACAGATGCAGTGCCAGTATCACTGCCGATCATGTGCTCAGCTTTACGGGTGAGACGAAGGATCTTCCCAGACGGGGACTGGATGGCTAATTTCGCAGCCTTGTCCCGACCAGAAGCAGATCTGCTCGACGAAATGACCGAGGTCGACGCCGAGAACTCGTTTGAGGCACCCGATACAGTCGAGCCGCCCGCTGTACTGGACCCCATGCTCAATGCACTGGACGGACGAGTGAAGACGGAGGAAGGCGAGCCGCGGCCATTGGAGGATTCATCCTTGCCTGACCCAGGAGCAGCAGCGTGTTGCCGGACAGCGAACACAAATGTATTGTTGACTGCTAGGCGAGAGCACTGTGGCTGCATGATGTACAAGTCGTGTCGCTGGGCGTGGGGTGTAGGATGACGCAGGACAAAGTCGTAAGATGGATTCTCGCCGGTGTGGAGCATTGGTAGGGCCAGAGCTAGGGGATGGGGGATGTCTCGACTTGAGTGCATCAGCCCCTTCTTGCCTGCATAAACCTTCAGCACACCTTGGCCTTCGTCGCCTGGCAGGACAGCCTTGATTGTGATGCGTTTTTGGCCGCGGATCCAGTCCGGCTGGACCAAGGCGCGCTTGCGTACAATGTCTCCGCTCTCGAAGCAATCACCATCTGCGTCGCGGGCGAATCCCGGGGCTTCGACTTCCGCGGCACATTCAACATCCGTTGGGACTATCATGCGTAGTTGCATGACCTCCAACCCGTCGATACGCAGGAAACTTGTGTCGTAATCGGGCATCTGGACGTTAAGCTTGAAGTACGGCGGGCACACGGTGGGCAGGGAGAGGAGAACATCTGGTGAAATTGGCGGGCAGATGTGCTGTTCTTCCGGATAGAGCGGGACATGAGTGTAGCAGAGATCAAGCGGGCGCGTAAGGAAGTACCAGCTCTCTGCTATGGAAGAGTTGTTGGAAACAAATTTACTGCGTTGAGGGTTCGTGGGATTTGCAAGTGCGCAATCCATAAAGCGCCATTCGCCATCCACTAGAACAGAGTTCCACCAGTGATTGGGACGGGAGAGGCTTTCCAGATCGAGCGCATCACCGGGGCTCTTAAGGAATCCTCGGATGATTTCTGTATGCAGGCCAACGGCTGCGCACATCTCGTGCACCAATAGTGCGATTTCCTCCGGGGTACCTCGTTTGGCCTGCAGGAGTCTCTTCATGTCGACTTCGAGGCCGTCGACAGGTTCCTCCCACGAGATTTTCTCGCTGACCCAGGTAAAGATGGCCCGTAGACGCTGAACGTCACTCTTGTAGGGACGACAGATATAGGCTTGTGCGAGGCTCATGGGGTTCGTCATAGGAGGTAGACTGCTGATGAATCGTGCACTCTTATCAACGAGGTTAAGATTGGCCGCGTGGAAATTCGTTGGCTCGGTGATTGGTTGCCCATCGATGCTCTCATCGCCCTCCGCGGTATCGTACAGCTCTTCCACGGAGTAGATAACAGGGTGATCCATCATCTGACATCGTTCTGCCCTGTCGATCCTCTCGTTTCGACTAGGAGACGACGCCCGGTTAACGTCTCGGCGCACCTGAACCCAGTCAATGGCGCCTGTTCCGAGTCCCATATCACGACCACCATCGCGGTTCGAGTGAGACGCAAGAGCCGGTGACACGGCGTCTATCCCTCTGATGCTCTTAGTTGGAGAACCTGATCTCTCGCCGTGACCGACCGCAATGCTACTCCTTGCGCTGGCCGCACCAGTCTTAGCTGTTTCAAATATCTTTTTGAAAAACCCTTGCTTTTTGCTCTTTGGCGTAGAGAGGCCACCAAAGACTCCGCTATGATCCGTCGAGTCCAGACCGGTTGATGACCATGGAATAGCTGAGGATGCACCCTGTCGAGACGAGTTATGACTGGAGTGATATGAAACTCCTGTGAAAGGAGTCTCCGGGCGTGCGTCGCTGAACCCTCGAGAACGGACAGTGTCCATAGCAGTATTTGGCCTCTCATGCCCCCCTCGTCTAGCAAAGCTCCCCGCACTCGTTGCACTGAATCCTCCGGCAGAGAAACCACTCATTAGACTTTGACTAGTCTTGTCTGTGCTCGTCGTCATGGATGTGCCATTGCTTTGCACCCCACTGGACGAATTGGTGGCACTAGACTTATTGGTAAATGACCGGTTTAGAATATCACCCCGAAGATCATGGCCAGAACGCCGGGCCTTGAGAGGAGCATATTGCCCTGGTATGGAGTTATTTCGTGGGTGGTAAGTGGCATGCTTAGGGGGAGGGGGAGGAGGTCCGTTGTCATCATCCTGGACGGCTCTTCGATCCTCAGGCGGTCGATTCTGATCTTCCAACTGACGTAGACGGCTCTCCATTCTTTGGACATAATTGTTTAGTTGAGGCGGACCATCCATATGGTCGTGGCTATAGACGCTGTTGCGGTGGACGAGTCCGCCCTGTGGTTGCTCTTTGTCGCTATTAAAGCTCATTGACGTCAAAGGCCGGCGTCTGTTGCCTTGGGGGGTTCTTTCGTGCGAAGTGTCAAATTCTTCAGGGGACCAGGGATTGTTGAACACTGGAGACGGAGAAGGTGACTGGGCCTCGCGGGGTAGACCCATATCTTCCAATGAAGTCATAACATCCTCCATAGCATCTCGCAGTGGAGATGGCGTGTTTCCATGAATATCTGACTGTGCTGAGGTTTCAGAAACAGCGGAGTGCATTGAGCCTGCAGAAGGGGACGGGGTACGATCGAATACCGCGTAACGGTCATTCATCGCTAATGGCGAGGGGGGTCGTGATGGGTGCGGAGAGTGCGATGGAGGCTGGGGAGAGCGTGCGCGATGCTGAGAGGAGTGCATTGGTGGTAACAGTGAATGACTTCGTGTTTGAGAATGCATGGGTGGCTGGGGAGAGCGGGCTTCCATACGAGGGATTACGACTCGGTGTGGCGGCGGTGGAGGGGGAGGAGGAGAGTCTTCCCGCTCTTCGAACATTTGCACCGGGGAGGGCTCACGAGACGGAACCCGGTAAGATGACATACTGCCGCGAGAGACCAGCGCAGAGGAAGGTTCCTGCATTGGTAATGGCGATTGAGCCCGGTAGGAGGACATACTTCCATGTGGCATGGGCGCAGGTGGATGATCCTGCATGTACAATGGAGATGGTCCACGGGATGGAGCCCGGTACATACTACCGTGTGAAACAATCGCAGAATGATCCTGCATTGGCAGCGGAGATGGCCCGCGTGATGGAGCCTGGTAAGATGGAATACGCCCGTGTGGCACCATGGCGGATGAATGATCTTGCATTGGCAATGGCGATGGAGCTCGGTAAGATGTCATACTGCCATGCGGCACTATGGCGGATGAATGATCTTGCATTGGCAATGGCGATGGAGCTCGGTAAGATGGCATACTGCCATGTGGCACCATGGCGGATGAATGATCTTGCATTGGTAATGGCGATGGAGCACGGTAAGATGACATACTACCATGTGGCATGGTTGCAGGTGGGTGGTCATCCATATACATTGGAGATGGCTCTCGCGATGGTGCCTGATAGGATGACCTACTCCTATGGGGCATGGTAGGTGGCGGATATTCTTGCATTTGCAATGGGGAGGGCTCGCGCGAAGAGCCCCGGTAAGATGAAATACTGCTATGTGGCATGGTCGGTGGCGGATAATCCTGCATTTGCAACGGAGATGGCTCACGAGACGAAGCCCGGTAAGATGAGATGCTGCCTTGTGGAACCATGCTAGATGAATGCTCGTGTACTGGCAAGGGGGACGGATTTCGGGACAAAGGGCGGGTGGATGAAATGCTGCCCTTCGGCGTCATTGCATATGAACGTTCCTGCGTTTGTAATGGAGATTGCTCGCGGGATGAAGGCCGAGAGGATGAGATACTTCCCCTCGGCATCGATGGTGACCGTTCAGGTTCCGCAGACGAACGAGAAGAGACACCGCGTGAAGAAGACCGCGAGCCAGACGATGGGGGTCGAGATAGTGAGCCTTGGTTCTTGACAGCTGACGCATGCGTGCGCAATGGCTTCGTACTTCGTGGAATGGCGCCATCCCGAGGTGGTGTTTGGGGAATCGCGGGTGCCGCTGGGCTAGATTCGGTTGCGCGCCGAGCGACGGAAGCTGGTGATACGGCTTCCTTATGCGCCTGGAAAGGTTTCCGCCAGACGGTCTTCTGTTTCTTGGGGGCTGAGGTGGGGTTGTTGATCGGAGAAGATCCTGCTAGCACCATTGGACTAGTAGTGTCACGGCTCACAGGCACGAAGTCTTCACTCAGAAGCTCGACAAAATTGGACGGGAACAGTCCAACTGCGCGCCTGTCACGGCGCAACCGACCCATCCACCATTGTCCATCGCCTGCATTCAAGCATTCAATCAAGTCACCCTCCACAAATCCCAGATCTCGTGTAGTCTCTCCACCCCAGGAATACACTGCTCGGCACCAACATGGAAACCGCATTGGCAGTTGAGCCATAGTGGTCACTTGAACACGGTTTCGTCGGGCGCAACACACGGGATCGACCTAATAAGTTGTTTCAACACCTGGCGCACTTCTGAAAATTCCACATCCAGGTAAAGGTAGGAAAGTGATATGTCAATTGACGAGGTTGTGTTGTTGATTCGAACCCAATACAACACAGCTTGGTCAAATGGGTTACAAGGTCCGCACGGCCGCAGGGATAGCAACGATCGCTCAATCAATCAATCAACATTGTCGAGAGAATAAGGAGGTTTCGATTGGGTGATTCAAAATAAAAAGGATTGACGAATGGAGATTCAATTTCACCAAATGGGGCCAACAGACTGGTTGCAAAGACGTGGGGGAAGACAGTGCGGTTCAGATCGGTGAGGCCTAAGACGACACTTGGGGCGTAAACTGGGACTGGGGTTGTTTGTTTGTGACCCAATCAGGACTAGCGGCGGAGGGCTGCCTTATCGATAAGCTTATATCATATTATGTAATATGTCCTGTCCCCCGAGTCTTGAAAAGAGCGTGATCGTTCCAAGGTTATTCCTCTTAACAGTCATGAACCTGTATATATGCCTCTGGATATCTTGAAATCAAGCCCTGGGGTATCGTAGTAGGCAAATACCCGAAGATGCTTCCTCATTTGTTGCAACTATGAAAAAGCTGAAGCCGTAACCGATCCATGGTTCGGTGTCGAACAACCCTGGTACTCTCGACAACAAGAGGGTCTCTGACGAACTAGAAATATCTTTATTTTCACTTGTTTGAATTACATTATAATCACAATTAATCTTGAGGACTGCCTTTCAAGAGTGAAATACCCGTGGACGTTGGATTTAAATATCTGGAAGAGAACCTTGAAAAAGAACTACTAATGACCAACCCCTACCTTCATAGATATCTGCATCTGGTTCTGACCTAAAAGCAAGAGGTCTAATTATACTTACTACACAGTAGAGAGATTTTACCTGGCTTTTAAGTATAGTATAAAGCTCGATGGCTCACTCAATGTGCAGAATTTTGCAAAATGGATTAAATATATATAATGTAGTTAACACAGTTGTACGTAGATATTTGCACTCTTTATTCCACTTGATATTCTTCATTTCGGCCTTAATATTATACAAACCTCCAAAGTCCACGTTAATGACCCGTCGGTCAGGGAAGCTAGTTCGAAGAATGATGAAATAGGCAGACTCATAGAGGGGAGTCAAGTGACGGTCCATGTGAACCCTTTCCAGGATTCGCTCCCTATACCGAGTGGTGAGGGTCGCCGGCGAATAATCATCTGTTTCCTCGAAGCTCCAGGCACACCTCTGGATCCACAAGGACCAAACGATCTCCCCGAACATGATCCGCCACCGTCTTTTTGGTTGATTTTTTTTCTAAACCGTGAACGCGTATGCGAGACACCCGTCAACAGCAGCACCGCCCACGACGTTGGGAACTCTACCTTTTCTCCTGTGACTCCAGTCCATTGCCTCTGCAGTTGGGCCCAGAGTTCCTGGGCCACTGTCCCCGTCTCAGACCGTGAACTCGTCCAGTCAAGCAATCGGAAGTCACCCTCACAAATATTCGTTCTCTTCGTCCGCGACCAAAGGCAGAGTCCACCCGGCCAGAGCGATTGCTTGCTGTTTCAGTGGTAACCCCAACCCGTCGATATATTGGTGGCAAGTACCAAGACGAATTCTCCAACCAGAGCAGGACGTCGTGGCCATTTGGGCGGCCGCGACAACGGAAATCTCCAAAAGGATCGTATTTTTCGTAAAAAGAAAAAAGCAGGGCCGGTCAGTAGAAACGAGGAGAACAACCGTACAAGTCGAGCGTTAATATGGGCAGGACCGGAGGATGACTAATAGTGCTAGGTAGCCTTGGAGAATAGCCTATGTAGGCTATGTTGTAGGTATACGGGCGACTAAATATGCCACCGATACATATCTCTCTCATTGGTTCATATTGCCAGCAGTAATTTAGACCCACTAATGTTGTAGATGCTTAAATATGTCTGAATACCTAGATTATAAGGTTAATAAAATTAATGCCTTAGAAATGGGTATAGGGACTTCTAAAGTGAATTAAATCTAAAGTGAATTAAATCTAAAGTGAATTAAATCTAAAGTGAATTAAATCTTAAGTGAATCTGAAGTGAATCTGAAGTGAATTGGCAGATCTCTTAGCCGCTAGTTTAGGGGGTGGGTGAATCTTTATAGTGTAGACTATTGTGGGTAATAACCAATGACAGAGTTATATGCCGATGGCAATTTTCAATTTCTTTTTGTTTTTTGACCAGACAGACGTGGGGATTAGAAGGGAGGCGTCTCCTCGACGGAGAACGCCTTCTGCATCCTATGGCTCGCTCCATACTTAGGTTCGGCGGCGGCGCGTCGAGGATGCTCGGAAGCTGCCTCGCTCTGGTGGTCCCGGCGAGTGTGATCAAGAGGAAGAGGCTGTACGGTATTAGAGGATTTGCGTTGAGCAATGTCCTCTTTTTTGGCCCGCATAGAAGCCATCCCACAACAATAGCCCCCTATTAGGGGAGGGTTCCAAAGAAGGAGGGCACGTCTTTGTCGAAGAATAAAGAATGATTTGGCGTATATTGTAGCAGTAAATAGAACAAAATTTACCACATGAATCTACGAAGAGAAAGAGAAAGAGAAAGAAAAGAAAGGAGAGTCTACGAGGGGACGACTTGTTTATGTATCTAGGCCTTATATAGTAATTCATGTGACATATCTCATTACGCTCCGAGTCAAGCTCGCCAAAGTATAGGGCAGTACAGTAGGCGGCGAAGGGGCGGCTGGGTAGAAAGGAAGCCGTCAAAAGTGGTCATTTTCACAGGTCCTCATATTCTATAGTTATGTTATATGCATTTTTATCTGGAGCACACCATTATAGTGGTCTGTATATTTTCCAAGTTTCAAGGCCCTATATGTACTTCACCAAATATGACTCCATGGTACACATTCGTACCCGCCGACATGTTTCCATTTTTGACGAATTATGTAAGGAAGTAGGTTTTGAATTTGCATATTTTGCCAAAGTTACCTAGGTAGGTAGTTTGGATGCTCACTTACTACTCACTAAGGAATGCTGAGGTGGCTGGGGAAGCTTTGGCTTCGAACAACTTTTCATTTCGAGATGAGCTGGCCCAGGTTGAAAGACTGCTTAGATATTGAACCGAGGAATGCAGCAACCTCATCTCCCCAAAGACTGATTAGCGAAGTTTCTGGTCAGTATCAAAGGTAATGCAAGGGGTTGTGTGATCCGAAAACAGCAAACTATTTGTGCTGAATCTAGGAAATGACAAAAATAGAGATTTATGGATCTTGCCATTACTCAGGCATCTGAGGTATGTTATTGCATTTCCTACGATCTTCTCAAGGTTGCGCCTTCCCTATGTAAGTACGGTTGCCATTGCTTTAATTTTCATAAATCGACGAGGGAAAAGTGACCAATTCTGGCTGAAATCTAGGAGCTCACCCAGCTGAAACTCCGCCAAAACAGACGAGCTTGCCACCGTGCTAAGAATTTGCCTATATTATATTCGAGGTGGGCATCATCATCGGTCGGTTTGCTAATACCCAACACTACCCCGTCTAGACTGGTGGTAAACATGTTGCCCGGGCAACGAGCGCTCCGTCTATTGGGTTCGATATATGGCTTGTGTTCTGGTGTTGCTTTTGTATTAATATTTTGTAATTTGTCTTTATCTAGCCATACCTAGAAACGGCTGCCATAATATCTAGCATACCATTCAGTTTTGTTTCCTTTGTTCTTCACTTTCAATTCGCAAAATACAGTCTGTTTGCGGTCAGTTATCGCAGGGGCGGTCCGTTGCCAAAGAATGATCTGGGTCCACTCGATCGATCGATAGCTTGAGAACACTTGGGTCGATCGCTCGATGAACCACGTGTGTAATTGATGGCTTGCGCCGGATTGTAAGAAATAAGAAATTGAGTGAAGGTGTTGAACAGTTTTCATTTGAATATCTTATTGATGGCACAGATGTCACCGGAAAAATGAGAAAGAGATCTTCCAGGCTGCGGCCATCTAAAACGAGACTTAATGTCTCAGAATTTGAAGTTGGAGTCATGACGTATTGGAACCCCTATGATGATGGCTTCAGACCATGTACATTTTCTCACTGATTTGCAAGACATTTGTAGATACTGTTCATAATCAGTTTCATGCATTCTAATCATGTATCCTACATCCTGATGAGTATATGTTGTGGAAAGGGGGTTATTCCACAATCAGGGGGCCGTGCCTGTGGTTTCTGGAATCAAAGACAAGTAAGCTTCTTTAAGCTCTTCTATTGAACTTCGATGCATTCTTCAGAAATTCCTGGTCGATGGACATAGGGCAAGTCATGTCACGTGATACATGGATGCAGCGGCTGTAACCTTCCGAATGCGGCGTCATCATCTCTTTTTTATTGCAACTTCATTGCAATGTTTCCTTCGGAACGGGGTCTATTATCTATGATTCCACTAGGGTAAGTCAGGTTTTGTGACGGATAGCTCGGCTCACATACCCACATACCCACATACCCATTTTTAAATCTTGATTTCTGGAGCCATTGCTAGTTTTCTCCGCAAACAGCACTCGGGCATCCGTGAACTAGCATCGGTTCGACGTTAGCTATAGGAATTCGAACCCTATGATTCAGGATCCAATCAGGCAATCCAAGGAACTAAGCTTCTAGTTCGGTCCAACCCAGCTCCACTTACGATCTACTGAGGCAGACATACCGAACTATTCGAGGGGCTATTAAACCCGGCGGTAACGGTACCATTGAACCATTTTAGGAAGTATACATATCAATACCAGAACTACGACAATATATGAATTTTCGCCGCATACTGGGCAATAAGCCGTAGGATCATACGTTGCCCAATGGTTTCGGCTGGATTACCATACCATAAAATCCTGTTTTACAAAAAGGAATCTGGGACCTAAGCTCTTCCGTTTCCTATGTGGTTACTACTAAGACAATTGAAAAGACAGTCATTTCCGATGTGCCGTTGCCCCGCTAAATGGAAAATACCCCCGTCACATCCTCTATAAAGTATTGATATCCGTCAATTTGCGCTTGATCTAAACTTTCTTCTTCCTCCATATATTTCTGAACTGCGTATTTACTATCGGGGAGATTATGGAAGGCCCTAGTCATGTGTATCTCTTCGGAGACCAGACTACGGATTTCGACTCGGGCCTTCGTCGTTTGTTGCATGCGAAGAATGACTCGCTGCTGGCAGCATTTTTCCAAAAGTCTTACTATGCGTTGCGCAAGGAGATTACATCACTTCCACCATCTGAGCGCCAGCAGTTCCCACGCTTTACCAGTATCGTTGATCTTCTCGCGAGGTTCAAAGAGTCAGGCCCGAACCCAGCGCTGGAGAGCGCATTGACGACAATTTACCAACTGGCATGTTTCATCCAGTAAGCATATTTCAGCATTTGATAAAGAGGCGATATTAGGAATCAAATTCGCTAACAAATTCTATTAGCTATTACGGCGATTTGGGTCATGCCTATCCATCGGGTGATGATAGCTGCATTATCGGTCTTTGCACAGGTCAGCTCGCATCTGCGGCTGTGAGCTCTTCGAAAACAATCGGAGAGCTCATTCCGGCTGGCATTGAGATAGTGATTCTTGCTTTGAGGCTCGGAATGTGCGTCTTGAGAGTACAGGAGCTCATCGAACCAAGCAAATCGGCAACTTCGAGCTGGTCTGTATTAATCTCCGGCATCCGCGAGCCCGAGGCTCAGGGTTTGATCCAACAATCCGCAAAGAAGAATGTGAGTCTGTTTCTCAAAATGAACTTTGAATAAAATAGGATCAGTGTTAATATCTTCAAGGCTTTGCCCCGGGTTTCACAGCCTTATGTCAGTGCAGTCAGCCCCAATGGACTCACGATCAGTGGTCCTCCGACTTTCCTGAGCCGTTTCATTGAGGATAGTCTCTCAAAGGAGCACAAGCCCACACGAGTTCCAATCCACGGCCCTTATCATGCCTCGCATCTGTATGATGACAGGGATATTAACCGCATTCTGGAATCTTGGCCTACCGAACAGTTCGTGACCTACGTGCCTCAGATCCCTGTTTTGTCGAGTGAGACGGGCGAGGAATTTCAAGCTGAAAGCCTTGAGCAGCTGTTGAGATTTTCTCTTCAGGAGATTCTGCAAAGACAGCTCTGCTGGGACAAGGTCATCGAATCTTGCCAGTCAACCTTGGAATCCGCCACAACATGCACTCTGTTCCCAATTTCGAGTACTGCAACCCAGAGTCTATTCAATTCATTGAAAAAGGCTGGAGTCTCCAACCTCGAGGTTGACAGCACAATTGGTGATGTTCAGAAGAATTCCGAGGGAGATAACCGTACCGGCCGTGCTGAGCAGTCCAAGATTGCAATCATCGGTCTTTCAGGAAGATTCCCAGAGTCACCCGACACCGAGGCATTCTGGGACCTTTTGAAAAAAGGACTCGACGTTCACCGCGAGGTGCCCCCAGAGCGATGGGATGTGAAGGCTCACGTCGACATGGAAGGAAAGACAAGAAACACCAGCCAAGTTCAATATGGATGCTGGTATAACGACGCCGGAATGTTCGACCCTCGATTCTTCAATATGTCTCCCCGTGAAGCACTTCAAGCAGACCCCGCTCAACGCCTGGCGCTTCTTACTGCATACGAGGCGTTGGAAATGGCAGGCTTCATCCCTGACAGCACTCCCTCTACGCAGAAGAACCGCGTCGGTGTTTTCTATGGAATGACTAGTGATGACTACCGTGAGATCAACAGTGGTCAGGACATTGATACCTACTTCATCCCCGGTGGTAACCGTGCCTTTACTCCTGGTCGCATCAACTATTATTTCAAGTTCAGCGGCCCCAGCGTAAGCGTGGATACAGCTTGCTCCTCAAGTCTTGCAGCAATTCATGTCGCTTGTAATTCCTTGTGGAGGAATGAATGCGACTCTGCCGTGGCCGGTGGTGTGAATATTCTGACAAACCCTGACAACCATGCGGGTCTCGACCGTGGTCACTTCCTCTCAAGGACCGGAAACTGCACCACCTTTGACGATGGCGCTGATGGTTATTGCAGAGCAGACGGAATTGGCTCGATTGTCGTTAAGAGACTCGAGGATGCTCAGGCAGACAATGATCCTATCTACGGTATCATTGGAGGGGCTTATACCAACCACTCAGCAGAGGCTGTTTCAATTACTCGGCCTCATGTAGGAGCACAGTCTTTCATCTTTGACAAGCTTCTCAACGAGTCCAACAGCGATCCAAAAGAGATTAGCTATATCGAAATGCACGGTACTGGTACCCAGGCAGGTGATGCAGTGGAGATGCAGTCGGTTCTCGATGTTTTCGCTCCTGACTATCGTCGTGGTCCAACTCAATCCCTTCACCTCGGTTCAGCAAAGTCAAACGTTGGCCACGGAGAGTCCGCTTCGGGTGTCACAGCTTTGATTAAAGTCTTGATGATGATGCGGAAGAACA